AATAGGATAAAGATTATCAAGGTAGTCGAATTTGATGGTTATTCTTAGTTTGTTCTCGAGTAGTTGTCGCATTCTTGGCAAAGATTTCGGATAAAATTAATAACGAGTAATCTTATAATCTTATATAAGCGGTGTAGAAGCCAGAGTACATTTATCCCTTGTTTCGATATAAAAGAGGAATATTAGGTTTATTCGCTTCGTCGACATCATGTTCTGTTTTACTTCGCTTATTCTTGATCCTGTGTCCAAAGGTATTTTCGCAATTTCATCTACATACGTATTTGGTTTACGATAAGTGACAGTTTGCGACTACTCTAATTGGCAGTTGCTACCTCTGCTACTTGGACTAACGAGTGAATCTCATCTTTCTTTCTTTCCTTTCGCGAATTATTACTTCTTCTTGCTCGCAATTGTAAGATTGAGCGAGTTCCGTCTGATTTTTATTTATCATTAACATTGACAAATCATTAACAAAGAGCGATCGCGAATATAAGGCGAATCGAGGATCAGAGCAGTAGGCAGTATGATATTAGAAACGGGGGCAGTGTGGTATTAGAAACGCAAGTGTAACGGACCTTACACGATCCATTATATATCCCTTTCCCCTTTTCAATTCTACGAAACAGCGGAAAGCGGAAAGCGGAAAGCGGAAAGCGAAGCACGTGTGTTCTCGAGCGAGCTTGAGACGTTTAATCGTTTGTACGAAAATAATGGTACATTTGCTCCTTATCTGACAGTGACTGGTCCCACACCGCTGCCAATCAAAGAAACGATACACCGTCAAAGTTAATTCTATTTTTTATTGTACTTGCTATTTTTCTCTATTACGATTGCGTTGAATAGCACGAATATGCGTTATAGCAACGCATATAGCAATAAATATATAGCGTAATAAAGGAGTATTTAAGTAAAGTTCATGAAACGAATCGCGTGACGCAACGAGGAAGAAGCGATCGCATTTATGAAAAAGATTTCTCCATGTCGACGAAATGAAACGAAATGCTAGGAGATAGCTGTTGGATATAGCTCTCGGAAGTGGACAGTGGACTGCTGGCGAGAAACGATTACATTCTTCGCATCGGTGGCATCAAAAATTAAGGCAGATGGTCCTTTAAGTGAAAGGGAATTCAAAAGTTATTCGAAATGCTGATTTCTATAGCATATTGAAAAATCCTCGAGATCGGAGAATAACCGGTTCATAAAATAACAAGTTCACCCTTTTTAGCGATATCATAATAGTGGCTTTCGGACAAATTTACGAATTATGATATTCAACGAAGAGCGATTTAAACTTTCGAGTGACGATGTATATCACGACGACTGACCGACGATGTATAATTCGTTGAAACGAAAATTTTCCTCGTATCTACAACCATGTATATGCAACTTGTGTAAAATTAAAATCGCTCACTAAAATGTTTACTAAAATAGTTCAGCAATTAGGATGATGACAGATTATTTCCTACGACGAATGACGAAAATAAAATATTTTACAGAACAATGTCATTTGACTGCTTGATTTTTATTTTTGATTACATAAAATAATTGATGTACACAGAGAATTGGTAGATAACTTTCAGGGAATGTTTAGAATGCTGTTTTTATTAATATGCAATGCATCGAGAATACTTGGCACAATCTGCCTATCATTATTTCGGTGGATAGAAGATAGTTTCTCGTAAAAGATATATCTTTAAGCATTTATAACACAGAACTCGAGGAAAATTGCTCGAATAGTAAATTAAAATGATAGTCTTGTGTTCGTCAACCGGGAATCTCACAGAGCCACGAAATTAACAGTATTATACGTACAAATTTTTTTTAACAGACAACAAATATTTCATTTTTTATGATATTGTTAGTCTCTTAAATCTCTTAGCGCCTAATAAAATATATTATAAAATATATGAAATTAATAACACCTTTATTTCCGTATATACGCCAATCGGAAACATATCCCTACATGTATCTGCTAATTAAATTATATTTAGTTCAAAAAATGGAATTTTTAATTAAAAGCTAATTTGTCGTTAAAGAAGGGAAAGTTTAAAAGTATTATCGAAAAAGCGTGTAATTTGGCGTTTCGAGTAGAGAACTTGGGTGTTTATTATAACCGGTTGTAAATTTTGAAATGCAAGCATGCAGTTACAGAATTCGTTGCAAGTGGCCTAATCTAAGCAGGCCTTGAGACGGCTTAGGTTTGTGATGGTCACTTAACGAAGAAAGTTTGGAAAAGTCGCGGATGTACATATTTTGCAGATGCGTCGGCCTTTAAAGTAATCGGTTAATTTTTAATGGTCGATGGTCAATTCATTATCGACCTAGGCTCTGACCTTTTTTTATCTTGCAGGCGTGACGCCAGCCGGCGGCTCTAGCAACGAGGTCCGCAAACTAAAGGAGACTATAGAGAGAGAACGGATCGAATAGGATAAAGATTATCAAGGTAGTCGAATTTGATGGTTATTCTTAGTTTGTTCTCGAGTAGTTGTCGCATTCTTGGCAAAGATTTCGGATAAAATTAATAACGAGTAATCTTATAATCTTATATAAGCGGTGTAGAAGCCAGAGTACATTTATCCCTTGTTTCGATATAAAAGAGGAATATTAGGTTTATTCGCTTCGTCGACATCATGTTCTGTTTTACTTCGCTTATTCTTGATCCTGTGTCCAAAGGTATTTTCGCAATTTCATCTACATACGTATTTGGTTTACGATAAGTGACAGTTTGCGACTACTCTAATTGGCAGTTGCTACCTCTGCTACTTGGACTAACGAGTGAATCTCATCTTTCTTTCTTTCCTTTCGCGAATTATTACTTCTTCTTGCTCGCAATTGTAAGATTGAGCGAGTTCCGTCTGATTTTTATTTATCATTAACATTGACAAATCATTAACAAAGAGCGATCGCGAATATAAGGCGAATCGAGGATCAGAGCAGTAGGCAGTATGATATTAGAAACGGGGGCAGTGTGGTATTAGAAACGCAAGTGTAACGGACCTTACACGATCCATTATATATCCCTTTCCCCTTTTCAATTCTACGAAACAGCGGAAAGCGGAAAGCGGAAAGCGGAAAGCGAAGCACGTGTGTTCTCGAGCGAGCTTGAGACGTTTAATCGTTTGTACGAAAATAATGGTACATTTGCTCCTTATCTGACAGTGACTGGTCCCACACCGCTGCCAATCAAAGAAACGATACACCGTCAAAGTTAATTCTATTTTTTATTGTACTTGCTATTTTTCTCTATTACGATTGCGTTGAATAGCACGAATATGCGTTATAGCAACGCATATAGCAACGCGTAATAAAGGAGTATTTAAGTAAAGTTCATGAAACGAATCGCGTGACGCAACGAGGAAGAAGCGATCGCATTTATGAAAAAGATTTCTCCATGTCGACGAAATGAAACGAAATGCTAGGAGATAGCTGTTGGATATAGCTCTCGGAAGTGGACAGTGGACTGCTGGCGAGAAACGATTACATTCTTCGCATCGGTGGCATCAAAAATTAAGGCAGATGGTCCTTTAAGTGAAAGGGAATTCAAAAGTTATTCGAAATGCTGATTTCTATAGCATATTGAAAAATCCTCGAGATCGGAGAATAACCGGTTCATAAAATAACAAGTTCACCCTTTTTAGCGATATCATAATAGTGGCTTTCGGACAAATTTACGAATTATGATATTCAACGAAGAGCGATTTAAACTTTCGAGTGACGATGTATATCACGACGACTGACCGACGATGTATAATTCGTTGAAACGAAAATTTTCCTCGTATCTACAACCATGTATATGCAACTTGTGTAAAATTAAAATCGCTCACTAAAATGTTTACTAAAATAGTTCAGCAATTAGGATGATGACAGATTATTTCCTACGACGAATGACGAAAATAAAATATTTTACAGAACAATGTCATTTGACTGCTTGATTTTTATTTTTGATTACATAAAATAATTGATGTACACAGAGAATTGGTAGATAACTTTCAGGGAATGTTTAGAATGCTGTTTTTATTAATATGCAATGCATCGAGAATACTTGGCACAATCTGCCTATCATTATTTCGGTGGATAGAAGATAGTTTCTCGTAAAAGATATATCTTTAAGCATTTATAACACAGAACTCGAGGAAAATTGCTCGAATAGTAAATTAAAATGATAGTCTTGTGTTCGTCAACCGGGAATCTCACAGAGCCACGAAATTAACAGTATTATACGTACAAATTTTTTTTAACAGACAACAAATATTTCATTTTTTATGATCCTTTGCTACGATATTTTCGGAAATTTTCTATTATTTCACCATTATGGAACACGCGATATCAATTTGGCACTAATCTTTTTCCATCCCTGATATCAGATACTCGCCCGTTTCATATTCGTGTGCTGCATTTCAAAATATATTACAGTTCTTAAGATTGCACTAGTAAGTCCTAGTAAGACAAGTACTAAAAAAATAACGTCTCAAGTTGTAAAAGAGTAAATAATCTTTCAATATCATTTGTTGTGAGAAATGTGAATTTTAATATATTTTGATACAAACTTTTTCGTATAACATGTATCATAATTAAATGTTAAGCGTAGTGGAAAGGTTAGTCATAATCGCCCAAAAGTAGTAGGTACTGTACCAGAGGTCGAAAGAGATATAGCCGGTTAAACATCTCTATCTCTCTCTCCCCCTCTCTGCCCCTCTTTCACGCTGCCTGCCAAGTAAGAGCTGCTGCGTGTGTACTCGTGTGCACGCGTGTGCGCGCGCGCGTGTCTATAGTGATTTGTTAAATCAATGTAATATAGTAGGCTTGTGAGCAAAATTTCTAAATTTTTCGTACACATGTCATCGTAATGCGTTTTTCTTTATACAGTAATATGATTTCTTTATTTTTTTCTTCAAATATCTTTCTTTTTATTTATTTTTTTTACTTTATTTTCGCTTACACGGAAATGACCATAATCGGCTAAATCGATTCACTTCGACCTTTAGTAGAGTTAATACGATTTATTCTATGCTGTCAACGATAGCGGTATCATCGAGAGTATGTAGCCAGTTAAAAATCATCATATTTCTCTCATATTTGGATAATTGATTTCCGCGTTCTCTTTCAACCTCTTTAATGGTTAAAGCGTGATTTCGTTCCTTTTGTCCCAATAGCGAAGATCCCGCAGTATCTGCTGCCCCGGGAACCAGTAACGTAGTTCCAGAAGTTGTTTGTGCTGCACTAGCTACAACTTCTAATTGATCTAAATTGAATTCGCTTTGCGAAAGCCGCTCCAAAGCACGATATGTTGTTAACAATCTACAAATTATAAAAATCCGATATTAATTTTCAATTATTAAAATTATTAATAATCTTATATCATATTTTCCACGTTGTTATTAATTTTAAAGACAAATTGTAACATCCAAAGATATTATTTCCTTTTCCTTTATTTACCAGTTGCAATTATTAGCATGCAGATATTATCGGTATAACTTCTATTTACTCTACTGATACTATCGTCAGCAGATATGCAACATTTAATTCAATTTATAGAATTTTATTTACAATATTATTACTAGTATTTTCATTATTCGAGCTATGATTTTATTATTATTATTATTATTTCTTTTTTTATTCAGCGGTATAATTAATTAACGTTACTAAGATAAAGGTATGATATAAATATATATTTTGATTTAAATTTATGAAAGATGAGCTTGGAGGCAATTTTATTTTGCAATTTCGCACTTTCGTAAAGATTTTATCCTGCGAAGAAAATGAAACTAAAGAAAATTAATTGAAACAAACCTTCGTCGTATATAATTTTGCCGAACTTTCTTGTTCACGGATCTAACAAAATCAGCTCCCGTGAATGGTATAGGTGGATGTGATGTAGTAGCAGGTTGTTGGGTTGATTGACAGCTGGATGTTTGTTGTTGGTATTGTTCTTGCGTAGCTCCGCCATGAGGACTAGGAAGTTGCGACGTATTTGCTATTGGTTCACCAACAGCAACCCATGTACTACAGGACCTCGATGCATGGTCGAGTCGTGTATGTTCCAAAAGCAAAGTGTTCCTTTGGGCAGTGTTGAGAGCCAAAGTGGACACAGTTGATCGCAGCCCATTTGCGCCTAGTATATCTGGACTTGGCAGTTGAGATACGTCACTCGTGCTAAAGCTTTTACGAAGACCAAGTGCCGAAGAAAGTACTCCACAGCTACGAATCAATTCATTCTCTTCCTCGAACCAAAGAATTTCTGGTATATGAGCTGGCCTAAAGAAACGAAAGACAACGTTGCTTAAATAACATATTTTACATATTTATATATTTATATTTAACTAGTAAATTCCTTCTTATCTTTCGTTATAATTATGCTTATTTATCGTTATCTTTATTTCTTACTATCGATTCTATTCAAAATATCTTTGAAAAACCTAGACTAAATAAACTAAAATATCGGCGTTTACCCCAACAAATTTTACTTATTTTAATTTTATAAGCTAGGGACAAAGGGATCTACCAGCAAATGTACTTTCTCGATAGGTCAAAACCATTATCCTTTCTATCGGTAATGGTTTAGAGAACGATAACGATTCTTTTAATGATTCCAAGTACATAAAGGGAAGAAACGAGTAAGGGATTTAAGTAGAACGATTAACGAGTTCAAGCAGAATGAACTGATCAGAAGATTAGTTAATAACGAAAATCCGAGCAATAAATAAAAGCTACTTAGTAGTAGTTGTTAGTGAACGTGTCAACGGTTATCGAAAAAAGCATCCAATTTGTCGAGAAGTAAAAAAGAAAAGCGACATGCTGGATACTTTTACTCCATGTTCATAGACGGAGTATTTTGAGCTTTCTGAATTCTTCAGGATGCATTCTTAATTCGTTATTTATCTACGTGATTAATGTTGCATAGAAGGAAAAGGTAACGATTCCAAGGGATTTCGAATACATCGTCGATTGCATATTACGATTCGATCTTATGGCACTTTTCCACTTGAGATTGAAATAGTACAACCGTGTGAGAAGAATAGAAGAGGACAGAGAAAAAGTTGAAGACTAGAAGAAATATAATATATAAATATAATTCAAATTATTTTAGGATAACGATTTTAAATGGCTTTAATATAAATATAATATATGGAAGCACTAAAGAGGAATTCTAATAAAAATGGAAATCATTTCTTCGCAATACATAAATCATGCTAACAAAAATCTATCATTCTCTCGTTTCTTTTTTCGCCTAACATATCATATGCATTTCCGTATATACTTTTATATACCTCTAAATTAGTTATACCAAGTAAGAAATTTCGTTATAGCCACAAATTTAAATGGTAGAACGAAAGAGTAGAACGAACCTAACCAACGATATGTCGAGCAATAGATAAGTCTACTTATAATAAATACGACGTTTACGATCGTTCGTAATCTATTCGTAATCTATTCCTTTCATATCTCACCGACTACGCTATAATATACAACTATAAAAGAAATTATGCTTATGGGTAGATAGATCCTATTTATCCTATTTATTAATTCGCGAGCTTCCTGAAAATTTTCCATTATTCGCACTATCTTTAGATATCTTTAGAAATATATTGTTTCAATTGTTCCTTGGAAGAAAATTTCAATTGTTCCTTGTCTCGCCATTGCTTTTACTTTAGTTTATCATAAATTATCAAGATCATTTTTCAATCTTTTCCTACAAACACATGTGCTTTTTTCTATTACATTTTTCTTACATTTTCATTACTCTAAAACGTATTTCTATATATTACTCTAAGACATATTTCTTATCCTTAGTTATTTATGAAAAAATGAATAATATCTCTCACTTTTCGGCAGTCGTATTCGTTAAATCTGAATGACAGCATGGATTATTCGAATAAAGCTGTCATCGTATAGCCCATCAACAACCTATCTACAACCCATCAACAACCTATCTACAACCCATATACAACCCATATACAACCCATATACAACAAGCTACAAGAAATGCAAACATCGACTTTTTTCAATTATTATTACTCGTATAATAATTTATTCTATATTGTGGCATCGGTTTCCAATTGTTAGGCGTTTAGGGCGATACCTGTAGTGCGTGCGAACGGATGAGATATTTATGACTGGTCCGGTGATTGAGAGAGAAAGCCTGTGTATGGAAAGAGAGAGTTCTGACTTTAACCTTTAGGGTGACTTTAACCGCAAGGGCGTGGGCGGAATGGATCGTGTGTTTGAGAGATAGAATTCAGAGGAACTTATTGTTAGTATAATATTAAGTAAACCAGTTTTACTATTAAAAGGGACTATTAATGTTGTTCATTAGACGCGCAGATCTCGGTCTGCACAGGATTAATCTAGCTAGAAATCCTACAATACCAAGCGTTAAGAGCACTTTCGAAGAACTTGTTTTAAACGGTGGGACATTTAGCTTCCCTCCACTGTAAATGTAAACAAAAAGATTGAACATAGCTTTAAACTGCATCAAATTTTGAAGAGAGGTAATCTACAAAAGCGAGAAACAAAATATTTCTTATCATTTTCTGACATTTCCAAGTTCAACTTGATTTTTTCACTATTTTTTACATTATTTTTTTCACATTTCTTATTATATCCCTTAAAGATTAGTAAATTTGAGATAATTCGAGATACTATAGATTCACTGACTGCAGAAACGTATATTCTGCAATTAAAAAAAGAAAATTCATAAAAATTGATCAATTAACTTGTCCCACCCAATTATGCTTGTCCCACCAGTCCAATCAGTTTGAAAAATAAACTCTATAGATAAAAATTCTAATTAAAAGAATATTTATATCCAATCTGATATTCCGGACTCGTACATTAACCCATCAATTCCTTCGTGAATCTCGCTGAGATAGCTCAAGTTATCTTTTTTCCCCGATTTCTGCTTTCGAAACGAGTGCGAGCTTATCCTTTGCCAACGGCAATTTCCTTCCTATCCGCTTCCTATACGCTGAACAAACTGTTTTACTTGCTCAGAGTTTTCCTTTTCTTTGCTTCATGATAATTCCTAATATATCGATAAGCTTTAAAGGCGACAAAATATCCATTATTGAATATGCTTTTGGAGGAATATCCTCGTCTGAAATAGGATTTTTTCCAATTGCTAAACCATAATAACTGCTCCTTTTCATAACAAATCGATCAGTCAATTTACTTGCTGCTTTTCTTTCCATTCCTTTACCTTCTTATCTTCGTCGCAGCTTGTAGGCGAGTTGCCAACCTTTTCCTTCTTCTTCGCTTTGTTTTTCGAACATCTTTCTTATATTCCAGCAATCACATAGGAGCCTCTATAACTTGGGTAATTGTTTCAATTTGCAAACTTCTTCTTTACTATATATTCTTCAGACACCGAAGAATTATAAAGTGTAAAAAAAATATCGTTTCTTCTGTTTCTTTTTTTTTTTTAATAACCTTTATAATAACCTTAGTAACCTAACCAGAAACTTTGCTCAAGTTGAAAGATATTCGATGTCTTTGGTGTGTGCCAATTCTTAGAAATCCGAGTATATTACGCAATGTCTCACAATTAGACTTTGAATAAAATAGCATAGTCTTTAGCTTTCTGTTCTGTCTATATGAATGTGTAGATTTTGCGAGATGCTCGTAATTTTGTAAGTTACAGGTTTGAATTCGCTGTGCGAATATAAATTTCTCTAGTACCTACTTTTTATTAAATTACTATTTTTAAATGCAATACATAAGTAACTTTTCTACATAGTTTTCGTTAACATTCGAGTTAACGAAAGGTAGTTTAGGTAGGTTGTTTATTAGAGTGTTGTAACAAGTAGTAGGACATGTGCGAAGCCAATTGCACGTGCAAAGCGTTCCACTTGGTCAACGGTTATCAAATCTTTCGCCTCGTCGCGTTAATCCTTAAGCTATCCAAACTAATGATGATCATAAAGTAGTAAGTAAGTAAGATTGTTTAGATTGTTATATATTGACTCGCTCCGAATTTACAATGTAATAATGCATCCCGCGCATCGTCGCATCACGAGTGAGAATATAATTCCAAAATGCATCTCATCCTTTTGGTATCGATTCGATAACCTCTGAGAAATCGCAACTCACTCACTCTGTTTTCTGCCATAACGCTGGTATTAGAGTGACGTGGATACGTCGTGCTTTGCACGGTTGAAGGTCCACCAGCGAATGTCTGATACCGTATTAATCACAAGCTTGAAAGCCACAAGTCTTCGATGATCTTCTATTCCCAAACTATTTACGTAATTTTTGCAAGCTCTCGGTTGGTTCCAAGAATTCCATTGGTTACAAATTCGATTGGAATGCGTTGTTGTGCACCTTACCTTAGTGAATTTTAACTCGCATCATTAAGTTTGAAATTGCTTAACTAGCGATTGCAATAACGAATAACTCTTACAACCTATAGACAATCATAATCTTTTTCTATATAATACATCCACTTTCATGCACTATCACTTTCATGGTATACACTTCAACAGCAATCCAGGAATACGAAATCCATTCTATCTTATTCTATTAAACATTTTTAATAGAATTTTAATCGATATTTACGACGAAATCCTTGCTTCTGATCATTTCCCAATTTGTTATCAATGTTAAAGTTGTAAAAAGATTCTTATCATTATAAAATCATTATAAAATGTTTAAGCTAAACTTTGTTTGTGCCGATTAGAAAAAAATTTCATCTTATTTAGATGATTTATATCGTGGGACTGGTGAGTAGACTTTAGGTGTTTAGAATTTAGTTATTTATGTAGAAATGTAGGATTTAATATTTTCAAGTTGTTCCAGCGTGGAAGAAAAAGGCTTACAATACACGGATTGTAAGGCCCGTTACAATTTTCTAACAGCCAGGTCCTAAATGCTGAATAGTTTGACCTTCGGTACTTCATATTTTTATCTGGTCATTATACATTTTTGCAAACTTCTTATTTGCCCGAGGTCACCGGACACGAGTTCTTCAACTCCTTAACGGCAAAATTAAGGAAATTAGACGTTGACATTTAAGGATTTGGCTGGCAATAAGCCTGCAAGGCTCGAGACTAGGTCACATGCGTTGGCTCCGGGTGGCTCCAACTTTCCAAGCTATACACCAAAGGTGACGCAGACACGATATCGCACCACTAGAGATGAGCGAGCAACGTGCGAGTGAATCCCCAAGGACCTCGCTATGTGGTCATGTGAGGTTACCCTCACCATCGATGTCATCACTTGACGTGAAGGATGTTCTTATTAAAAATTATTTAGAAAGCAGT